CAAAATTCAGCAGCTTTTTTTTTTTTGCTAAAAACTCTCAAAAAACTAGGTATTGAAGGAACATTTATCAAAATAATAAAAGCTATTTATGACAACCCCACAGCCAATATCATACTAAATGGGCAAAAAACTGGAAGCATTCCTTTTGAAATCTGGCACTAGACAAGGATGTACTCACTCACCACTCCTATTCAATATAGTATTGGAAGTTCTAATCAGAGCAATCAGGCAAGAAAAAGAAATAAAGGGTATTCAAATAGGAAAGGAGGAAGTCAAATTGTCTCTATTTGCAGACGACATGATTGTATATTTAGAAGACCCCATCATCTCAGCTCAAAATCTCCTTAAACTGATAAGCAACTTCAGCAGTCTCCGGACACAAAATCAATGTGCAGAAATTACAAGCATTCCTATACACCAATAACAGACAAACAAAAAGCCAAATCAAGAGCAAACTCCCATTCACAATTGCTACAAATAAAACAAAATACCTAGGAACACAACTAAAAAAAGATGTGAAAGACCTCTTCAAGGAGAACTACAAGCCACTGCTCAAGGAAATAAGAGAGGACACAAACAGATGGAGAAATATTCCATGATCATGGTTAGGAAGAATCAATATCATAAAAATGGCCATACTGCCCAAAGCAATTTACATACTCAGTGCTATCCCCATCAAACTACCAATGACCGTCTTAATAGAACTGGAAAAAAACACCTTAAACTTCACATGGAACCAAAAGAGAGCCTGAATAGCCAAGACAATTCTAAGCAAAAAGAATAAAGCTGGAAGCATCATGCTACCTGACTTCAAACTCTACTACAAGGCTACAGTAACCAAAATAGCATGGTACTGGTACCAAAACAGAGATACAGACCAATGGAACAGAACAGAGGCCTCGGAGGCAATGCCACACATCTACAACCATCTGATCTTTAACAAACCTGACGAAAACAAGCAATAGGGAATGGACTTCCTGTTTGACAAATGGTGTTGGGAAAACAGGCTAGCCATGTGCAGGAAACAGAAACTGGACCCCTTACTGATACCTTACACTAAAATTAACTCGAGATGGATTAATGATCTAAACATAGGGCCTAACACAATAAAAACCCTAGAAGAAAACCTAGGCAAAACCATTCAGGACATAGGCATAATCAAGGACTTCATGACCAAAAGACCAAAAGCAGGCAACAAAAGCCAAAATAGACAAATAGTACCTAATTAAGCTCCAGAGCTTTTGTACAACAAAAGAAACAATCATTAGAGTGAACTGGCAACCAACAGAATCAGAAAAAATTTTTCAATCTACCCATCTGACAAAGGGCTAATATTCACAGTCTACAAAGAACTAAAACAGATTTACAAGAAGAGAAAAACAAATCCATTCAAAAGTGGGCTAAGGATATGAACAGACACTTTCAAAAGAAGACACATATGAGGCCAACAAACATGAAAAAAATGCTCATCACTGGTCATTAAAGAAATGCAAATCAAAACCACATTGAGATACCATCTCACGCCAGTTAGAATGGCGATCATTAAAAAATCTGGAGACAACAGATGCTGGAGAGGATGTGGAGAAACAGGAACAGTTTTACACTGCTGGTGGGAGTGTAAATTAGTTCAGCCATTGTGGAAGACAGGGTGGCAATTCCTCAAGAACCTAGAAATAGAAATTCCATTTGACCCAGCAATCCCATTACTGGGTATATACCCAAAGGATTATAAATCATTCTATTATAAAGACACATGCACAAGTATGTTCACTGCAGCACTGTTTACAATAAAAAAGACCTGGAACCAACCCAAATGCCCATCAGTGATAGACTGGACAAGGAAAATGTGCCACATATACACCATAGAATACTATGGAGCCATAAAAAACGATGAATTTGTGTCCTTTGTAGGCACATGGATGAATCTGGAAACCATCATTCTCAGCAAACTGACACAAAAACAGAAAATCAAACACTGCATGTTCTCACTCACAGATGGATGTTGAACAATAAGAACACATGGACACAGAGAGGGGAGCATCACACATTGGAGTCTGTTGGGGGGGACTAGGGAGGGACAATGAGGGGTGGGAGTTTGGAGAGGGATAACATGGGGAGAAATGCCAGATATAGGTGACGGGGGGATGGAGGCAGCAAACCGCTTTGCCATGTATGTACCTATGCAACAATCCTGCATGATCTGCACATATATTCCAGAACCTAAAGTACAATGGAAAAAAAAAAAGTTCAATGACAGTAATGAAACAATAGTAATATAAGAAAGAAGAGATAATACAATCTGAGTGTGACAGTACTGATGAGGACACATCAGATACTTTTGTAGTCATTGTAATACAGTGCTGAACAACACAAATTACATGCATTTTACATTCCAGTTGGCACAACATCAACAAATAATATCACAACAATGAGAGTGCTGTCAAGGAAATGCAGCAACCCAGGTGCATAGAGAGTGACAAAGGGGCGGTGACTGCTTTAGAAAGGATGACCAGAGAAGTTCCATGAGGAGGCAATTTTGAGTAGACCTGAGAAAGGTTTGGGAGGAAATCACCAGGTATATAGAGATGAGAATGGTTTAGGAGGGAATAGAGAAAATATTTTAATGCTTTGGACTAATATTACAGAGAGTAAAACTTTAAAAAAAATCCAACTGTTGATTGACTATAGTTGATTATGTAAACTGTAAATTAAGAAACTGAAGTATTTTCCAAGTCCCATTTCCAAAGGCCAGTCTCCACCCTCCCCCAAAAATGTATGCCAGTGATGTTTTATATCTGTAGCATAGATAAAAATTTCTTTAAGTTTCCTTTTTTTCTGACCATCTGAATTCAGAAACAATACGTGCAAGGCAAAAGTGAGCATGCTAATTTGGTGGTTTAACATTCGTTGGAGTTTAAAAGTTCTTCAATATATACCACATTTTTATAAATTACTTGGTAAAACTGTTTGAAATGACTTTCATAAAAAGTGAAAAAAATTAATTACAAATCTCAATCTTCCTGAGGTGTAATCATTATTTTACATTCTACAAATTAAATATATAAAACACAATACACACACTACATCGTGAACAGTAAACTGGCAGTAATGTTTGAGGGGAAACTATTTAAGTGACTGAAATCGTTCGTATAGATTAAATTTATAATTCACAGGAAGGGAACTCTATTCATCCTAGAAGGCTCTGCCTATGGCACTTCTCCTCTGATGGTTCCCCCATCCCTATTTCCTCAGACACAATCAGATTTACAGTCTTTTCTACTCCCATTGCACCTATTCCATGCTCTACACCTCCTGCTAAATTGCATGTTAACTGTTTGCCTCTTTACAGTTCCTCCTACCCCCACCAACAGACTATGAGATCATTTATCTACTTTGATTTTCCTTTAACACTGTCTAGGATTTATACATTGATAGGACAGGATTTTATTGTTAATTATGAGCAATCGTATGACCAAGTTGAGCAAGACAAATCCTGCACTAGGTAAGACTAACGGTTCACATTCTAGTAGAGGAGAAAATATGGACATGAATCATTAACACAGTGATCTATTCATGAAATGTATGCACCAGGTAGAGCAGTGACTCTGCCTGGATTTGTATTCCTGAGGAAGTAACTAGTCAGCTGAGCTCTTCAACAAGCATTAGGCATTAACTCTGCTGGTGATGTGCTGGATGGCTAGTGAAAAGAAAATTGAATAGAAAGAGCATTTACCTTCTCTCCAAAGATTTACAATCTTGAATGAATAGTTCCAGTAACAATGGCACAGGTAGTCAATAAGGTAGCAAGGCTAATAGCCAGTTGGTTAAACTGTTAAAATATTGAACTCTTCTATACCAGCGGTCAATAGCAGCGACTACAAGCACCTGTCTATTTGTTCTTTACCTCCCCTCAGTACTCCCAATCCCCTCTCATATGACCCTTAGACCTTACTGTGTTCCAGCAGGTAAACAGTCACCACTACAAGCACCTCTATATTTGTTCCTTACTCTGCCTTCCCTCAACACTCCCAATCCCTTCTTATATGACCCTTAAACCTTCTGTATTCCAGTAAGTAAAGGGTCAGTGCCTTCATGTGCTAAACATTTTACATATAACTCCAAGGGATACACTTGCTAAGAAAGAAAATAAAAATTACAAGCCTTGAAATAGCAGTGAATATTTGGTAAAATGCAGTTAAAAGCCAGGGTATGAAGTTCAAGTTGGGGAAAATAAAATGGAATTAAAGAATTGAGAAGGGCAATGAAGAGCCACAGACAAATTTTAAGCAATTTCTGCTTTTAAAACAAAATTCTGTGCAACTTAGTATTTAAGTGCTTGTCAATATTTGTCGAATATGTTGATGCTAATACTAATTTGCACAAACCTCTAACCAATGGGAGAAAAAGAAGCTTTCATAAATATGGACTTAGATACAGGGAATTTATCTCCTTATCTATACAAATTACAGACTCTCTTATTCTACTGTTATTTTGCAGTTGGTGATTTCAGTATTATAGACATGAATATTGAGAAGTAATTAGGGGAGGAAAATCAAACTTGGCTGATCTGGACTGTTTTTTCTTCTATTTTGTTCAGAACTTTTAAAGAAATAGTATGACTAAATGCTGATAAATAAGTTTACTCATCCTTGTGAACAGGCATGAGATTACTCAGAAATGTTGGATTAAAAAGGGCCAATAAGAAAGGCTTGACTGTATGTAAGTATCAATAGGATGGGTTCTCCATTACTTTTTATTTATATTCAGAAGAGAAATTCCTTATTAATGGATGTATTGAATGAAAATTAAACACTCAAAACTGGACCTGAACAAATTAGGACCAAAACAAACAAAACAGGACCTGCTGTTTGCTGTTTTTCCTAACTGGCAGTTACTGCTTTGTAGATATTACAAATCACAATATCATTCCTATCATTATATGTACAATATGTGTTCCTTCTTGTTCTACCTTAACAGTAAGTGGCAAATAAATCATTTTTATTGAATATTAATTTTCAATTTATTTCAGCAGCAAGCGCCAGAATCAAAACCCAACAATCAATATAATAAGTATAGGTAACAAATAATCTGAAATTTAGCCCCATTAAGACATGTGGGTACAATGTTTTTATATTCCCTAAGGTCTGCATATTTTGGGAGCATTAAACAACAGGTTACTACAATTTAACACAAATCAGGTGCCATTTAATACTGTTTAATGTTTGAAAAGTATTTATTTAATAATACAGATCATCCTAATGTGCTATAAATAATTCTTGCAAAGCAGCATATGGTTGGAAGTTTTTCCCTTTTGGAGGTTTCTTTTTTCCATTCCTCTCCAGCAACTGGCCTCCCATTGCCAGCAACTCAGGTAGATCCATGCAGTCAATCCTCTTGAATCCGTACTGGTAAGCGCTCTGGAGGAAGAACAGATTCCAATTTCTGCCAGCGCTCTGGGGGCCACAGGATATGTGTGGCATGGGCATGCAGAAGTCCCAGAGAAACCTGAGTTTATGAGAAAAACGAAGAAAGCAAGAAAGAAATCACTTTATAAGAGTTGTTATTAATATCTTGAAAGCAGAATTTGATCCAGATTTATTTAACATTCCATAGAAAGGTGACGATGAATTAAAAAAAATAGTAAACACATTTTGTAGCCATTGAAATACAAAGAAAAAAATAGCAGGCACTTACATAGCATTTTTCTAGGTACTATTAAATGTAAAGTCTTTTAATCTTCACAGAAACGATTTGAATTAGGTTCTGTTAGTATTTCCTTTTTACAGATGAGAAAGCTAAGTTCAGAGGTTAAAAAACTAGCCAAAAGTCATACAGCGACTAAGTGGTTAGTCTGTCTTTAGAACCAAGCAGTTTGACTCCAGAGTCCACCATCTTAACCATTATCCTCAATCATCTGTTTGCATAGACCCACGACGCATAAATCTGGTGTATATTCTCACAGTTTCCCACAGAGTTATTGGTATCCTAGAGAGGCTTTCTTCATGGAAAAATCACAGAGTCCTGAAATATATATATATATATATATATATATATATGTTGTGAAAAACATTGTCCCACCTACTAGATGAGCAGCAGCAGTTAGGTGTGAGACTGGGTGGGCTGTCTCCATGGAGAGTACACTGAGTAAGGCGGAACTAGTACTCATGGAGAGAGGTGGAAAACCAAGACAAAGCAAACAAGGTGGGATGGGTAGCCAAGAAAAATAATTAAGTATACAGATCATGTCAGATGGTAAAGAATCCCCATCAGCAGAGGCGAGCAGAGACTGCGAGGATGGAAGATGAGGTGAGGGGGAGGACTTAAGGCTGAGCCCAAAGGCAGGAAGGGAGCCCTTCAACATCTGAAATCTTCTTAAAGACATCAATTTCAGCGATCAGGAGAACACAGCAAACTTGTTTCAAAGGTAGATCAGGGTCTTATCTTCAGAGATTACCCTTCAACAGGTCTGAAGGGGGGCCTGGAGAGCCATGATTTTAAAAAATTGTTGTTGCTATTGTTACTATCAGGTGATATTTTTAATGATATTTAGAAGCTTACAAAATACACTCATACTTGGCACATATTTGCTGAGTGCCAGTTATAAAGTAATACTATCCATCCACTTTATTTACCATTTTATTTTCAAATGTTTTTCCTATAAATTAGACCTCCACAGAGATTAACATAAAACATTACTTTCGTTGAAGCTCTTCTTTTCACTATCACATGCATTCAAGAAATCTCTTCTATTTGCTCTCATATGTATTCAGAAAAATCACATTGTCTAGGGACTCAAAGCCAGAGCTGAATATCAGGGAAGGCTTCCAAATAGATAACCAGAAACACATTGTTTACAAAGAAGAAGAAGAAAAATCTTTTAACAACAACTTGAAATACAAACTAAATAAGCACAAAGGGTAGCAAGAAGCCCTGGGGCGCAAAAAAGGGTTTTCTTCTTCTACTTGTTACTTTGAAAATCAGACCTATAAAAATTTGAAAGTGTGGTACAAAAAACAGCTCCACCGAAAGTCAGCATTTCCATTTTGCTGCATTCATTTCATTCTCATTATATGTGTGTCTATATATATGTTACATGTACACATCTACTTCTTTTCTAAACTGATAGTCGTTGATGTTATGCTAAATTTATGCCTGAATACTTCAACATATATCTCCTGAGAACTAAGAACTTTTCATATATGAACACAATACCATTAATATACACAAGATATTTAATGTAGATACGATATTACTTATTACATAGTCCACATTCAAAATTTTCCATTTGTCCCAGTAATGTATTTTATAGCCATTATTTAAAAAATTTAAGGTCTAATCAAGGGTCAAAAACTGCATTTATTGGTTATTACTTTGCTTCAGTTTGTTTACATTTGTTTCTTTTAATCTGGAGTCTCAACATGTTGCCTTATAAAATGTCCTAAGTCTGCAATTGCTTGATTTTTTACCCTCATGACCAGAGTCAAGTTCCATCAAATCAGGAGGCACAAAATGTCAGTGTGTTTCATTGTCATGATGACAAGTTTGATCACTTAAGGCAATATTGACTAGATTTCTCCATCATAAATAATTTTTCCTTAATTAATAACTAATCTGTGAGATATTTTGCAATAATATAAATACACTATATGCCAGCTACATTTCATCTAATCATTTTAACATCCATTCATGATCCTGTCTGAATTTGGATTACAAAAATAATGATTTTCCAATTCTATTCTTTTGCATTTATTAGTTGGTATTGTTCTCTTAAAAAAAAAACTTCTTTCTGAGGAGGATCCAAGATGGCTGAATAGGAACAGCTCTGGAATGCAGTTCCCAGCAAGAACAACACAGAAGATGAGTGATCACCGCATTTCCAAATGAGTTTTCACTGCCCACACACCAGGAGATTACTGGGCCAAAATGCACCATGAATTTCCAGTGCAACTGTTTCAGCCGGCGTCGCATTTCCACACAAAAACTCACACAAATCCAGGTGGCTGTTTCAACTGGCGCCTGGAAAGCCTGGGAGACAGAGCTGCCCATTCAACTGAAAGGCAGAGGGCTAGACAGGAAGTCAGGTGATTGGGCTTGGCAGGTCCCACACCGACAAAACCAGCAACCTGAAATTCTCTGGATTGAGAGTTTCACAGAAAGCAGACCTGAGATGGTCCAGCTCGGTGTGGGAAAGGGCATCTGCTACTACTGAGGCAGTCTGCCACTACCAAGGCAGTTCTAACTGTACCTCTGTAAACACCACAAGAGAGTTTACACAGCAGGTGGGCAGAGCCCTCAGCAGCTCAGCAATGCCTCTGCTACCAAACTGACTATATTACCTCCTTGCTCGGTGGGGGCATTTCTGAATAAAGGCAGCAGCACATCAGGAACTTATAAATAAAGCCCCACCTTCCTAGGACAGAACACCTGGGAAAAGAGGTGATGAGTTCCGCTGCACCAGACCTAAACGTATCTGCCCAGCGGCACTGCACAGAACAATGGAGCTCCCAGCACAGCACTTGAGCTCCTATAAGAAGCTGTCTCCTCAAGCAGCTCCTGGACCCCTGTATATCCAAAGAGACACCTCATAAAGGAGAGCTCAGGCTGACATTTGGCAGGTACCCTTTTGGGACAAAGAGAGCAGAAGAAACCAGCAGCAACGCTTATAGTTCTGCAGCCCCCGTGGGTGATCCCCAGGCAAGCAGGGTCTGGAGTGGACCTCCAGCAGTCCTACAGCAGAGGACCCTGTTAAATGGAAAACTAAAAATAAGGAAAAAAATAGCTTCAACATCAACAAAAACGACATCCTCTCAGAGAACCCATCCGAAAGTCACCAACTACAAAGACCACAGGCTGGTAAATCCACAAAGATGGGAAGAAATCAGCGCAAAAATGATGAAAACGCCAAAAACCAGAACATCTCTCACTCTCCAAGGGATCACAACTCCTCACCAGTAAGGGAATAAAACTGGATGGAGAATGAGTCTGAGGAATTAACAGAAATAGGCTTCAGAAGGTGGGTAATAACAAACTTATCCAAGCTAAAGGAATATGTTCTAACCCACTGCAAAGAAGCTGGGAACCTTGAAAAAAGTTTAGACAAAATGCTAACTAGAATAAACATCTTAGAGAAGAATATAAATGACTTGATGGAGCTGAAAAATACAGCACGAGAACTTTCCGAAGCATACACAAATTTCAATAGCCAAATCAATCAAGCAGAAGAAAGGATATCAGAGACAGATGATCAAATCAATGAAATAAAACGAGAAGGCAAGATTA